GCCGTAGTCATGAAAGCCAGCTGGGTGACTCTGGGCCAGTCCTTCTCTCTCAGCCCAGCCCACCTCACAGGGTTGTTGTGGTGGGGAAAATAGGAAGAGGACGGAGTATTAGGGTATGTCTGCCGCCTTGAGTTATTTATAAAAATAATAAAGGCGGGATATAAAAAAATCTTTAAAAAAGAATCTAAGATATACCTTTGGAATATCATTCCCCCTGAGGTCAGATTGACTCCAACCTTGGCAGTCTTCCAGAAGGGCCTGAAGACATGGCTTTGCCATCTGGCCTGGGGATCTGGGAACATGGGTATGGAGCCACCCTGCAAAGTGGCTGTATTACTAAGGAAACTGAAGGCACTCTCCCACGTATTGTGGGGGGGTTTTTTTAACGGTTTTTATTTTTATTTTTTTTAATGATTTTTGTTGTTATGCTTTTGGTTATTTTGTTTATTTATTTGTTTATTAAATTTATATGCCGTCCATCTCCCCCACCAAGGTCGGGGCCGATCTTTAATTTTTGTTGTATTTTGTGTTTTGTAACTTTGTACACTGCTCAGAGTCATCTATGTGAAATGGGCAGCTATAAATTTACCAGATAAATAAATAATATATGCTGTAATAGATTGTAATATATATGTAACATATTATAATATTATATTATAATATATATGTAATAATATATGCTACAATATATTATATTAACTTTTTGCTGTTGTTTAATATGGACACACCATAATAAGTAACAAGACAGTGGAGACCTTAGTATTATTAAGCTTAAGAGAACTGAATGGAGCTTCTCATTCACTGGAAAGCTGAAGCTAGGCTGGAGAGATGGTTGAAAAAAATGAAGTCTCCCAACTCTCTAAAACTCTGCAATTCCATCATACGTGAACTCTTGGCTACAGCTTGGTTTTACTGTTGCTGTATAGAATCGTAGAGTTGGAAGGGCCCTTGGAGGTCTTCTAATGTGACCCCCTGACTGGGACAGGAATCCTCAGGCAATCCCAGACAAACGGCTGTTCCACTTTTGCTTGAAAACCTCCAGTGATGGTGCCTCCGTTTCTCTCGGAAGCAGGCTGTCCCACTGCTTCATAGATCTCACAGTCAGGAAATTCCTCCTTATTTTGAGGTTGGATCTCCCTCTATGAAGCTTCCACCCGTCGGTTCTTGTCTTACCCTTGGGCACTCTGGACAGTAAATCCACATCCTCTTCCCATTGATAATCCTTCAAGGATTGGAAGACTGCTAGTGTGTGTGTGCGTGCGTGCGCGCATGTGTGTTTGCTTTCTTGAACTGTGCCACAGTGCTGCCCTTTGCACTCTTGTCTTAAGATGAGAGGGGTGATCTGCTTGCATCTGGCTTGAGGAAATATTCTTCTCCTTTTCCTCCTCTTCCTCCTCCTCCTGATTCTTAAGCTGACCTCCAAGAACTTCACTGTTGGGTGTTGGTGGTAGCTTAGCCACTTCTGCAGAAGAGCTGGGCATTTTTCAGGGTTCTTTGCTTTTGTGTTGGGGAGGATTGCCCTAAACAGGGGTGCAATATAGTTTAAAATACAAAAGAAACTCACATAGCCCCCACCAGTTAGTTAGTCTGTTTAAAGACTTTATATGGCCACCCACCTTGAACAATGCAGCTCTAGGCAGCTTACAAGAAACAACCAAACTTAATCAACAATCAGCAGTAACCATAATAATCGCTCATTTGCATCCAGGCTTGGGTTCCTATACATTCTTCTGACTCTTACAACCCCTCTGGAGTTGTGATGTTAACGTGATTTCCTGTTAGAGCCTGCTGGGAAACCAAAGAGATAAGAGGCATTAGACTTTCAGATAAATGTTGCGGGCACCCAGAGCTGGAAAAAGGGGTCAGGAGCTCTGCCAGTTGGTTCTCCCCACTTCCGTAATGTCCTCCAGCTGCTGAAATGATGTTTTCAAAAGGGGGTCTCCAGCCATATAAAGATTGCCTCCCTGTGGAACAGACGATATTGTACTTGATGGGCTAGTAAAGCGACTTCCTGTGTAAGCCTCTCCCCCCTGTTCTTTTTGTCTCCCTCCCCCCCCCGCTTTCAGGTTCAGCGTCTCTAATGATCTGAAGTATGACGCCGAGAGGGACCTGAAGGACATTGATGCACCTAACCTTCCTGTCCATGCTTTAAACAAGGTATGGAGTTTTCTTTTGCTTCCCTTCTGTTTCCCCCCACCCCCATGGGAAAAGCTGACCAGGAGTGCTAAGAACTTGGCAGAGGGGATTCTGCATTTGCCTATATTTATTCCTGTTACTTATTTATGGGTAAATAGACGCTTTTATTTTGGGAAATTTAGATAATCATGGGTTCTTTTTACTGTGGATGTTTTACTTGTGTTTTTATGCTGTTGCCAGCCTCTGTGAATCTGGCAGTTTGGATGGCATACAAACATAGTTATTGAGAGAGAGAAAAAAAAGTGGGTCGGTCTCTTTCTTTCTTTGTGCCTTTGAGTCAGTCTTGACTCCTGGTGACTGCCTGGATGAGGCCCTGTAGTTTTCTTGGCAAGATTTTTGGAAGTGGTTTTCCCTTGCCCTCTTCTTCCTAGGGCTGAGAGAGAGGGACTGGCCCAAAATCCCCCAGCTGGCTTCGTGTGCAAGGCAGGACTAGAACTCAGAGTCACTTTGTTTCTAGCCTGGTGCCTTAACCACCAGACAAATTGGCTTGTATATGTATATGTATATGTATTTGTATACAGGTACTCCTTGCTTAACAACCACTCATTCAGCAACCGTTTGAACTTACAGCGGTACTGAAAGAATGCTACTTATGACTGGTCCTCAAAGTTGCGGCCATCACAGCATCCCAAAGGTCATATGATCATGATCTGGGTGCTCAGTGACCGGCTCATAATTACCATGTCATAGCGTCTCGCAGTCACATGTTTGCCATTTTACAACCTTCCCTGCCGGCTTCCTACAAGCAAAGTCAATGGGGAAGCTGGCAGGAGGTCACAAATGGCAACCATGCGATGTCCTCGCTTAATGATGCACGATGATTCGCTTAACAGTGGCAACTGGAGGTGCTGGAATTGCTGTCGCTAAGGGGTGCAGTCACATGATGTCGTGTTTTATGACTGCATTGCTTAGCAATGGAAATTCCAGTCCCAATTATCATTACGTGATACACACACACACATATACTTATATACACACACATACATACACACGTGTGCAGATACATAGACACATTCATTGGGTCTCTCTTCTGCCCCTCTTCTGCAAGCAAAAGGCAACGTACATAAGGGTTGCTTCCAGTCATCTTCAGGCCAAAGGATCCAAGAGCAGATGAGGAAATGACCCTCTGCTGCTTCCAGTTTCAGAAGACATTGCCTTGTTCTCTGAACATGACTTGGGGTTTGTAATGGGTTGTAACCTTGGGAGACAGAAGGAGGAGGTGCTGCAGTCTAGACAACAGTGAGACAAGAGACATCTCAGCCTGCAGCAGGAATGTGGACGTGGGAAGCATTCAGAAGGGACCGTCCCTAGTTCTCTGGAAAGCCAAGGCAAGGGAGGGGAGAAGTGCTTTCAGACTTACAATATTGTGTTACTGCAACCTTCCAATAAAAGTAGCATTAATATTCATGATTTTGGTTTTCTGGTCTGGACTACCTTGAAGGGCTGACAGGGCCTGATTCAGGAGAAAGCCATTCCCAGTTTAACTGTGGCCAAGGGACTGACCACTTGCTTCTCCTGTAGGTTCTTGATTTGCTTGGGCATCTTTAATGGAAAAACTGTCAGCAGGTAATGAGAAGCTCTTTGCTGGATCTCAGAACGGTCTGAACGGTTAGGAATGGCTGCAGGGAACAAGAAAATCCAAGAGCATGACTATGAAGAAGGAAGATTCAAATATTCATTTTTGCAGAAGTTAACCAACGCTCCTTCATTAAATACATGATCTGTGACTCACTCCCAAAGGAGCTCTGTTGTTTTTAATTTAACTGGGAGGCATTTCCGTGCCAGAAATGCTGCCACTTTAAAAAAACCCTTATCTCTTTGTCTAATTTTTTTTCCCTCTTTCTCACCAGATTAAATATGGTGACACAGCTACCTCGGAAGGAATTTTATTTGCCACTTATTCTGCCTTGATTGGTGAAAGCCAAGCGGGCGGCCAGCACAGGACCAGGTTGAAGCAGATTCTGGATTGGTGCAAGGAGGATTTTGATGGTGTTGTATCCTCAGAGAAATAAACCGGGGAGTCTCTATAGGTTTTTTTGGCTTTGGTTAATACATGGAATACTTTGGGCTTCCTTTTGGGTTGCAGTCTTTGTAATTGCCCTGTGGCAGAGCATGAATTCAATGTTTTTCCTATCATTGCAGAATCTGGCTCTTTTGCTTTTCACACAAAAGTAAATTCATAGTCCTCCTTGTTCCAGATATATGTTCTACTTTGGAGGCAAACTCGAAATACTGAAAACAAGAGCTACGTTTTCACTAAACTAACATATGATCAGTTTGGGTCAGCCCTAACTCAGTGTACAAATCTGGCTGTGGTGTTCTCTAAATCAGGGTTCCTCAACCGTGGCAACTTTTAGATGGGTGGACTTCAACTCCCAGAATTCCGCAGCCAGCATGGGGCATGCTGGCTGGGGGATT